CATTTGATGTTGATCAAAACATACCATGGGCCATTTAGTTAAAAAAAAAATACGCATTATGCTTGTGCACCTACACCAGTTACTTTATGTACAATAAAGGAATGGGGGAAGGGAGTCAAAGAAGAGAGAAAACTACTACAGTAGTTGCGATGTGGATGAACCAAATCTTGGTTTTCTAATTGTGAATGTATTGTTTTCCTTGGGAGCGCAGTTCTGGAGTCGAGTTACATGTTTTCTTTTTAGTTAGCACCTCCTGTCTGCTGCTGGAATACATGGATTGTGTCTTCACCCTTCATTTCCAGCTCTGCAGGTGTGTCTGTTTCATTGATTGGTTGCCCATCAAATCGGGATCTGATCTGCTTCATTGACAAACCCTGTCGTTCACAATAGGCTTTCATTAGTTTCCTAAGTGGTGTGTGCCTCTTAATCTTAAATTGCACCTCCAAACCATCTGGCCATTGCTTTGACTTGTCTTGACTTTTTCCTCCAGCTTTTCATTGGCCATGGCAAGCCTGGGGGTCTCCTCAGCCGCCACTTCACAAAAGAGGCACCAGGATGGTCTGCTCCAAGGGAACTGGGGGGAGAGGGGGGAGGAGAAGCAGCAGCAGCAGGAGGAAAGGAAGAAGAGGAAGATGATGGTGGTGATGGTGAGGAAGAGGAGGAGTAGGAGGAGGAGAAGGAAACTACATTTCAGGTGGATGTTAGTACAGCTGAAAGTTGGGGACTTCCCCCAGACTGAGTGCCAGCAGTATGTGAGAATCTCACCAGCCTTGCTTGCCCTAGTGGTCCATGGATGCTTGGCTGATTGATGAAGTGATACAGACTAAGAAGCAAAGCAGGGATGCTAAAGGACCCGACTGCCAGCTTCCTGAGGGCCGTCTGTCGTTGAGGATGATGGCAGACGTGGGAGCTGGTACACATGTGGTGCTAGGAAGCAGTTGGTGCTGCCCAAGACATGCAGCTCCATGGCCATAAAAGCTCCACATGATGATTTTGGACACATGGGTCAAGAAAGGACCTGGGGCTAGGAAGAATCAGATTTTTACAAGCCCTCGATGGCTGCAGATGTCATCAAGAAGTCCCAGTGAAGAACATAAGTACTGTCAAATCCTTGGGACTCGTCTGCACTGACTTCCAGTCTCTGGAAAGCAGTAGCAAGAACCTAAGAGATAGGTTGATGGTGATGGGCCCCTCAGCAGGGAGTCAGAAAGCCTCCATGGTTGCTCAGGTATTGTGAGAGAAATATTTCTTAGTGTATGGACTTACTACCGGGATCTCACTAAGCCGAGGTGGAGCTTTGGAAGTACATTGCTGAGAAGGTGGTTAGCTCTGCCGGCATCATGTAATCTGGACTACTTTTGCATTCTCTGCTGAACTCTGATGGACATGTCGGGGACACTGAGACCAGAACAAATCTCAGTGGAGCTCTTCTTGTACGTATCAACGATTTCACTAAGAATGATGCCAAGAGTTTTATATTCTCCCTGCTGCTGTTTGGCCATGATCCATGCTTACCTGTTTTCTTGTGCTTTTGGAGTCTCTGAGGACCCAGATGCTGTAGGTGTTTACGACTAGAATATCTCTCAGGTGAGAGAGAAGTTGAATGAAGCTTATGCCCTAGCCACACCTTCCTCCAGGAAGACTAGTGAAAGAAATAAACAGTAGTGAGTGTGATTGATACTTTGACAATGCGACAAAGTCCTGCTGAGAAACCCTGGTGTTCATGAGACACACTACTTAGAATGATGGAAAGCTAACCCGTACTGAGTTGTAGAGAGCCTGGGCACCTAGCCTGGTTACAGAGCAGTCTCTGAGGCTGGAAGGAATCCCGCAAAGGTGATTCATGGCCAATCTGTGAGCAATCACATGTTGTAGTAGCTGGTCTCTTGAATAGGCAGTTTGAGACAGTAAGTGGAATTTAAGCAAAAGAGATGACCTTGTGGTCATACAAAGACTGTCTGATCCAAGCAGTGGATCCAAAGCAGATGTCGAGAGTGAAGAAGACCCTGTGTGTATTCTGTGCCCAGTGACCAATTCAGATGAGGGTAGAAGATGGAATTTCACAGAAATGCTTTCTTTGCCTAGTCCTTCAACCCTAGAGACTGCTTGGGGACAGACATTTCCCTAAGAACATGGGAACACTATGTATGAGCCAGCCTGGGCCCCTTATGGGGTCAGATTTAGGTGGATGAGGGCATGGCTGTGGCAAGGATAATGATCAGCTCGTGTCGTCGACTAGCACAGGCGCAGGGGCAGAACCTGTGAAAATGGCGATGCGTAGCCGGATGATAATGTTAGTGTTTACCCATGTAATGCCTGCCCTGCCATATGTTCAAAAGATGCATGTGTTGTCCCAGTAGGCTTCTGCATGGTACATTTTTCTGGTTGGTGCCGCACTCGTTCGGTAGCTCTCTGGTAGCCTTGCTTTGTTTTGTTCTGTCGTCTAGCAGGTCTGTTGTCGTTATTGCCATTCTTACTGGCTTTTATTTTGTGGACGTTCATGTGCCACTGTGAAACGTGCCTGTGATTTAGGTCTGGCCCTCATGTCGGGCTCTCCTGTACGCATGGCTGTCTTGCTGCTGTCTATTTGCTGTGTGTGGTGCTCCCGAGTGGCTTCCTGGGGTGCTGGTTGAATGACCTTTGCTCTGGGATGTACTAATGAGTATTTGGTGCTTTGTGGTCTGAGGACAGGTGCCAGGCTTGTCACAGCTGACTTTGCAATTCTAAACCCGGGAGAGAAATTTAACAGTCCTACTGGACAGCCTTGGACTGACACCCTTGTGAGGGAGCCCAGGTCACTACAGACCTTGGGAACCATGTTTCTTTCCAGCTGAGAAAGGGGGCATTGCCAGGAGATGGGGACCAGGAGGTAGAGTTTTCAGTTAATGAGTCCTCCCTCAGAGGGAAGAGGGGATGAGGGGTGTGACAAAGGTGGCAGTGACCACTGGAACCCGTTCTCTCGCTTGGACCCCTAAGCGGTGGTGAGGCCAGTGCGGCCCTTTGACTGACTCCGGACTTCACAGAATAAATCCCCTTAACAAAAGGATTTGTTCCGTAAAACTTTGACTCAGTCGAAGTCTGCACCCAAGGACCTAGAAGGCCACACGTTCCCCACCCCTGCCCAAGGGGGACTCCTGGAGGTGAAGGCGAAAAGGCTACCTCGCCAGGCTTGAGACTGCACTATCTGGTGCTGTCACGACTACTCACCAGGTGAGGCCGAAAGAAACTGGGAGCAACCGTTCAGGAAATGCCAGTGGCTGCCAACTGCCTTCAAGATCTAATAGGAAATCTCCTTTTAGCTTTTAAAGCCCTCTGTACCCTGAAGTCTTCCAGTCTTTTTATACCTTGAAAACTTGACTTCCTTTCACATACATTGAAATCCAGTGACACCAGCCTCCCGACGGTTCTTCCAAGAAGACCCTCCATCTTGACTTTGAGCGTTTTCTCTGGCTGTCTCCTATACCTGGAATACTCCTCCTCCTCCTCTTCTTTGCCTCCCAGCTTTGCAGACTTCCAGCCTTCCACAGGGAACCCTTCCTGACCCCATGTTGATGCTAGGGCTTTCCCTCAGTTGATTCTTTCCTAGTTATCCTGTCTATATCTTGCTTGTACACAGTTGTTTGCATGTTGTCTCTCCCATTAGACTGGAAACTCCTTGAGGGCAGGAACTTGTTTTTGCCTTTCTTTGTATCCCTAGCACTATGCACAGTGCCTGGCACACAGTAGGTGCTTAATAAATGCTATTTGACAAACTGACTGAACTGGTGGTCCTTATCCATGTCCCACCCTTCTGAATTTCTCCTGAGTGCTATCGCCATTTGCTTCTAGGAATCTTGGATTCTGTTTAAGACTGTATCCAACTGACCTAATTTTGTCCATCAGTCTAGCATTTCTGAAGCAGCTTCTGTGTGCCAGGCACCTTGCTGGGTACTAGGGATGCAGATGCAAACATGAGACAGTTTCTGCCCTTCAAGTGATTCAGTTCTACCCCAGGGATACAGCATATTCTTGGAAGAGGAAATACAGGGTATTAAAAAGTCAATGCAAAATGATGGAGGGGGATGAGGAGAGGGCGGCAACTGGGACAAGCAGAAAGAGTCTTTTGAAGGAGATGCCACTTGGACTTGAGCCTTGAAGGGAACCAGGGGTTCCAAGAGGCAGAGGTGAGCAGGCTATGCAAAGGTGTCGGGGTGGGAGATGGAACAGAAGAGGTTCTTGACCTGGGGGTCCATGAACTTGTTTGTTGGTTTTAATTTGATTGCTGAATTTCCATTATCTCAATTGGTTTCTTCTGTAATCCTATTGTATTTTGTTTGTGGATTTTAAACCTTATTCTCAGGAGTCCTTGGATTTCACCAGTTCACCAGAGGCATCTGTGGCACACAAAACTGTGAAGAACCCCAGAGTTGGGGCTTAAAGTTCCCCATGAGTGGGGAACCTTGCTTAAACTTCCTGGAAAGAGGCCTGAGCCCCCCCAGGAGGAGGTTTACAAGCCAAGCAGGAGAGTTTGTCCTAAAGGCAGTAGGGAGCCAGTGAAACTTCTAAAGCTGGGGGTGGGCGGTGGTGCTGTGGTCTGACTAGGAATATCCATTTGGTAGCTGTGTGGAGGATGGAGTGAAGAGGGGAGAAACTTGGGGCAGGAAAAGCAATTAGGAGGCTCTTACAACCCCCCAGGTGAGAGGGGGAAAAGGCCTGAATGAGGATGGTTTGGGAATGAGTGCAGAGAAGGGAAAGGAGGCCAGTCATTTCAGAGTATGAAGTTTAAAGGGAACATCATTCTTGTCTCCGGTTAATTCAAAGCTGCCTGAGGTCACGGTTGTCCTCTTCCCAAGTCTCAGTGCTGCGCTCTGGAAGAGCATGGGTCCGGGATGACGGCAAGAGGGAATCTTCTCCAGTGTCACTCTGTTAATGTCGGCACGACGTGGGCGCCCGGCGGCTGGTTGGTTTGTTTGTTGTTGCCTGTGTTAGGGGCGCCCTCACTTTCTCTTTCTGCTTTGCAGTGGCTGCGTTTGATATATGCCTCCCTTGGGACTCTGTTATTTTCAGTGGTAAGTCCATTCTTCTTTGCTTTTTAAAAAAAAGGAAGCAGGTGACTTGGATTGCATTGATTACTTAAGCTTGGCCAGAGAGGCCCCTGTGAGTCACTGGGACGTTCCCATGTGGGTTGGCTGCCCGTTGGTGGCACCCAGTACAGATGGCCACCTTCAGTGAGGGGCCTGTAACAGGTGAACACGAGGGTCTTCCTAAATCCAGATGTTGATTTCCTTGTTTTCATGGAGGGGCAGAAGGAAGCATTTATTAAGCACTTACTATGTGTGGGGCAGTGCTAAGTGCTTAATGAATATTATCTCATTCTCAGCAACCCTGGGTGGTAGGTGCTATTATGTTTCTCATTTTACAGGTGAGGGAACTGAAGCGCAGAGAGGTTAAGTGACTTGCCCAGGGTCACATAGCTAGTGCCTGAGGCTAAATTTGAACTCTGGCCTTCCTGACTCCAGGCCCTGCTCTCTAACCACTGTAACACCTTAAACCAGTTGCAGTGGCAGGGACTAATTTGTGTGTTTTTAAACTAGCATAAATATATAGATAGAAATAACAAGGAATAATTCATAATTATATAGCCCCCAGAATATGTGGAAAGCACTTTACTCACAATGACCCTGTAAGTTTGGAAATACCAATATGGTCATTCCCAATTTACATATGAGGAAACTGAGGCTGGGAGAGGAGGTGACATGGTTAGAGAAGCACTTCAGAGAAATCATTTTGTCAGCTGAGCAGTGGGTAGGTTGGGGCGGGGGAGAAGCTTTGGAGTGAGATTGCAGATGGTGGGCCCAGCTCCAGCCGCTGTGTCCAGTCTAATCTCTTCCCCTCATGGGCCACTCCTCCCTCCCCCCACACTAATAGTGAAGGGGGATAAGCCTTCCAGTACCACTTAGTAGGACTGGCAAGGAGGGGCAGCAGGGCAGCATGGACCTAGGTCAGGGAGGGAGGAAATAAATCGGAGGGGCTGCCTTAGAGGTCTCCTTGCCTCCGCTAGGATGAGACTGGATCAACTCACAGGGACTGACAGGCCAGGGCTTGACCCCATTCCACCTCTCGGAGAGCCGTGATCTGGTTCATCCATCCATCTCTCCCTTCCCCCCCCCTTTCTCTCCCTCTCTCTCCCTTTCTCTCTCTTTCCTTCCTTCCTTTCCTCCCTGTCTGTCTGTCCCTCTCCCATTCCCCCCCTCTCCTTCCCTTTCCCAACCAGGGAACTGAAGCCCAGAGAGGTTAAGGAAGCTGACCAAGTTCAGCCAGTTAACTTAGTCGTTCAGAATGTGATCCATGGAGAAAGATGGCGCTTCTAGGGGAGGCCTGCAGCCGTGATCTCTGGCCTATCTTGCCAGTGACACTGTTCCCTCGTGAGGGAGACGGGACGAGAGAGGGTGGGTATGACACCCAAATCTCTCCCTCGACGCTGAGAAAATAACTCAAACCCGTGTCCACCTAATAGTAAGGAAGTCATTCACATTGTGTGAACGATTAAACAAAGCGTATCATGCTCATTTTGTAACCGCTGTGCTACGCTGACGCCACATTTAGCTTGCTAGCCACTGTGATCCCTAGATCTTTTTCGGTACACAGTAATTACTTCTTAATGAAGAGGCTGCAGTCTAGTTAGTGCTGAAGGAATACAGACTGTTCAACCCCAGGAACTCCAAGAGGAAGGTTTCCCAGAGCATCAGCTGGGTCAGTCCCCGGTGCTCCTGCTCCCCACTCCAGTCTTCCTCAAAAGACTAAATCGAGTTTACTCTTAGAGCTAAATGGGCAAACTAGTCAGAGGCAGGACGCCATGATGGAAAGAGAGCCAAACTTGATGTTAGGAGACCTGGGTTCAAATCCTGACTCTGTCACCCTGTGTGAGTCACTTAGCTTCCATGGGTCTGTTTCCTAATTGGTTGAGGGCGTGGGGGTGGACAAGAGTGGACAAGATGACCGCTCAAGCTTCCCTTGAAGCTTGATCTCCCTCCTCTGCTCCTTAAATGACCCTATTTAAAGCAAGCCGTTTGTGATAGATTTTCAGTTCTCTGTAGTCTACTTTTTGTCATACTTTGTACGGGTTCATGTTAATTGGTGCTTGTCGACATAGAATAACAGATAATAAAAGTCATTTAAAAAATAAATTTCAAATGTCCCAGCTTGCTCAGGAGTGTCCCAAATACCTTTAAAATGTCTTTCCCATCATAATTAGAAGTAGAAGACTTCTGTTGTAAATGTCTGCCGAGTTGTCCTTTTAGTGTGGAGCAAGTTTTAAAAGAAATCTCTACATTTAAAAGGCATATATCTGGTGCCACTGGTATTTTCAGCACCAACACAGCCCATGCTGACCCTTGCTAAACTCTGTATGTGTCTGTGTATTTAGTATTTTACAACATAACTATTTTTGGCAAAAAGTGTTTTATAATGATCTGTTTTGTTTGGGTTGTTTGAGGACCTCCTCTCAGGGAATACACAGCCAGAAGTTTTTCTGTGTCTGACGTTATAGGGGCTTTGTTAGAAGCATCCCATCCCAGATGTTGAGACTTCAAAGTCTGATTGAAAGCTGTGGGATTGGAGTCTGAAGCCACTACCACAGGTTGATCTTTGTGGCGGATCTCCTGTGTACTCCATGCTAAAATTCTCCCAGAAATCGGCAGGCAGGAGAAGCTTGTCATGGAGAGGACCACTCTGAAGTGTAGAGAAGCAGATCTCTTTGATGTGGGGTGCGGAAGAGTCAAAGCTAGGAAAGCTTTTACCTAAAACTGGGTCCTCCTCTCTTGCATGTGCTCTGCTTGCTTTCTAAGCCTTGTGCCATTTGATAATTGGATAAGGTTAAAGACTTCCATTTTGGTCTTGTTCGTGGGGTCATCCTGAATCTGGTTTCTGTCCAAAAGAGTTAATTTCCCCAATAAGGAAATGCTGTTGAAATTGGATGATCGTGGGAAAGTTGAGTTTTAGAGGTCTGGAATAATCCTGACCTATTAATGTTCACACTTAATCAAGATTTTCATTTTCTAGATGACTAAATAATTGCAGTTTATTACTAACGCTGACAGTCATGTATATCTATGGTCTGGCCATGACGAGTTCTAACGAGCACAGGCTCTGTGATTACCTAATAGATGGGAAAGGCCACCTTCTAACGAGGTCTTTGGGAGACTTTGAAAACAAAGTTCTCCGTGAAGAATCACAGAATCTCCAGGATGGCAAGGGCCTCTGCGGTCACACCCTGTCGCCATGACGCCGACAAGCTTCTGCTGGAAGACCTCTAATGAGGAGAGGGGGGAACTTCCTCGCCTCCCAAGGTGCTCCCTTGTGCTCCTGGAGAGCGCTAATTGTTAGGAAATCTTCCCTTCTTTTGAGTCTAAATCAAGGGCTGTCATTGCTCCTACTTTTGTCCCATGGGGCTAAAGGAACAGATCTTCCGTGACCTGCAAATACGTGAAGACAGCTCTCGTGGCTCTGATGAGTCTTCTCCAGAGTAAACATCTCCAGCTCCTTCACCCACTGCTCCTAGGCCACGGGTTCTAGTCCTCCCACCATCCTGATCAGCCTCACCAGGATGTACTCCAGCTTAGCTGTGGTCTTCCATAGCAGCCCACATGTGGTAGGCCAGGGCATTAATTTATTTGGCTGGTACATCCCACCTTTGGTTTGTGTTGACTTGGTAGGCCCCTAACGCCTCCAGATTTTCCCTGTTGTTTAAAGCCCTACCTTCTCTCTCTTGTACTCGTGAAGTTCATTCTTTTAACTCAAGTGTAGAGCTTTAACTGTATCCCTTTTAAGTTTTTCTTATTTAATTAGACCTTGGCACATAGTAAGCACTTATTGATATGGAAAACACAAATCAGTACAATGAGCAGAATGAGAACAGTAAAGGAGAGATGTAAAATCCTATAGAAAAATCTGAGGTGGAAGAAATCGCTTTCATCTGGAGTGCAAGCAAGGAAGGCTGCATGGAGGAGAGGGTACTTGAACTAGGTGGTAGAGGTGGAGAGGGAGCACATTCCAGGCAAGGGCAGTGCAGATAGTAGGACTTTCACGTCCCTTTTGGTAGGAAGGAAGGAAACAACCTACAACGTGTCAGCCATTGTGCTAAACATTTTGTATTATCTCATTTGATCCTCACAACAACCCTGTGAGGTGGGTGCTATTATTAACTCCATTTTACAGTTGAGGAAACTGAGGCAAAGCAGACTAAGTGACTTGCCCGGGGTCCCACAGCTAGTAAGTGTCTAATGATGGATTTGAACTCGGGAAGATCAGTGTCTTGCCTCCAGGCCTAGCACTCTAGGCACTATGGCGCCACCTAGCTGCCTGGGAACTGGGCTTAGGAGTCCAGAGCTCTCTTTAAATAGTTGAGCTCCTCTAGGTTTTTAAATACCTTTGTAAGCCTGTGCCAGAAACAAGGCTGCCTCGATGTTCTGTAAAATACTACTCCCAAGCAGCTGCTGTGCTTTGGACAGTGTGGAGGAGGGTTGGTTATCCTGGTGGTTTTTGTCCGGCCTGTGGTTTGCAGCTGGTGTTTGGGGGTTCAGAATGCAACGAGGTAACTGAGCTCATGGGCTTATTTCAGTTCCTTTAAATACCCCGGCCCCCTTTTTTTGGGAAGAACACGCCAGTGAGAAGTGCTGCCTTGACAAGTGGAAATGATGAAGAATCACTCTCTTCCTTTTATTTCTTGAGGATATCCTTTGACATGCAGGGTATTCTAATGAAGTATCATGAATGCTGGGCTTTGAAATGTCTCAGTATTGAAATTCATTCTAGCTCGTGTGCACTGGGTCTTTTAAGTGGTTGATTCCGTGACGTTGAATGAGCCCGTGCTGTTTCAGTGTAGAAAAATGTGGAAATAAGGAATGATCCCTGAGTTGGCATTCCTTGTTTCTGCAAGTCACTTGTTACAAATACTAATCATTCCAAGGGAAAATAGTACTTTAGAATGATAGAGGATACAAGCTATTACCACAAACTCACTTTCTGCAATTTTACCTGTTTTAAAAATAACAGCTAGCACTTTGATACCATTTTTAGGTTTGCAAAAGCACATTATGTGTTCTCATTTGATCCCCTTAGCTCTGTGAACTAGGTACTATTATTATCCCCACTTTACAGGTGAGGAAACTGAGGCTGAGAGAGGTTAAGTGTATGTGCCAGAGGCAGGATTTGAACTCATGTCTTCCTAACTTCAAGCCTAGAACTGTACCCATTGTACTATTTAATTCTTTGAAAAATGTTAATACCCCCTCCCCCAAGGAAACTGTTACAAGTATTTGGATAAAAATGTTGTAAGCATTTAAAATAAAAGACAAAAACATTTGGATGATTTTTTTTCCCTTTTCTTCAAGTACCTAGTGTTTGACATACAGTTTATGCTGAAAAGGAGCCATCAGTATGACTGGAATCCTGAGGAATATGTCTTTGCTGCCCTGAATGTCTACCTGGACATCGTCAATATTTTTGTGTTTATTCTGGAGTTAATTTCCCAAGACCAGTAACTCAGCTCAGTCCTCCATAGTGAATACAGGAACACTGCTGACGTCCCCAGGGTGTGTGCTAGTCCGCTGCGTTCCAATCATCACCTCTGGAGCTTCCTCCCTTTTCCCTCTTTTTAAAAAGTTTTAAATATTTTAGATTTTGGCAAATGAAGAAACTCAACATTGGACAGAATGTAGCAATTTTATTTTTAGTTCTCGTCAGGTAACATTCTTGGGGGAAATATTTATTCTTTAGAATTATTTTGTTAAATCATAAAGTACTCCATCTTAACTCTACACATACACTTAAAAAAAAAAGGAAAATGCTACACCTTGTTACACCATGATCTTGGTTAATAACTTTTCCAAATTTTGAGAAAAAGTTAAAAATTCTTTTAGAAGGTGATTATTTTCCAGTTTCACCATTGGTTTCTGTGGTTACTTTGTAAGATCCAGGCTCTATCTGACTTAACAGCTGTAAAGAACTTGTAAATAATAAAGTTGATTAATTCATTCTTTTTCTCTCTTTTTCACCAGACTGGGACATTTAGAGAGGATGGCTTAGAAAATGATAAAGTTTGCCCAGGGGTTTAAGAAACCAGCTCAGGTGAAATCTTTTGGTCCTTTGGCGAACATGCCAAGTGAACTGCTGAAATCTGTGTCATTCATTACTAGGGTCAGCAGGGAAATCCTTGACCAAATGCTTTCATCACTAAGCACCTTAGACAAGGCAGACCCATCCATACCTCTGATGATCAAGTGCAGTTTGTGAAATGATTTCAACAAACATTTAATAGGAGTTTTATCTTTCTAATGAATTTTAGCTAGTCTTCAGATCTTTTAAAACGGGGTTAGACAGAATACACATGAGGTTAAAATAGTTTTGCTCTGGTTTTCATCCTTTTGAAAAGTTTTGGCTGGGGGCAGCTAGGTGGCACAGTGGATAGAGCTCTGGCCTTGGAGTCAGGAGGAGTTCAAATCTGGCCTCAGACACTTGACACTTACTAGCTGTGTGACCCCGAGCAAATCACTTAACCCCAACTGCCTCACCAAAAAGCAAGAAAAAAAAAAGTTTTGGCTACTGGACCAACTTGTTTTTTTTTTAGGCCAGCCTTGCTTACTTGCTTGGTAAAGGACGAACTCTCCATTAGGACCAAATATTTATTGAATACCCCATGCCATATAACTTTTTCTGAATACCACGGTACTTCTCTCTTCTCTCACGTGGCAACTCCCGGCTGTTTGGGAGGATTTTTTTTTTTAACCCCATCTGTTCCAGTCTACTTAGACATTTGCTGGTAGTGACTGAGGTGTTGGACTTGACCTCTGAGAGCGCATCTACCTCTTAAGAGCATAGGGTAAAACAGAAAGCATTATTCCCAAACCAAAATAAACTAGTGAAACACTAAAATATAGCCGGATTATATTCCTGAATATGATGTTGGATTTCTGTGTCGAAGAGTTCCTCATTAAGAGAAAATGCAGGATAAATAAAATTTGGAATAAAGAATGAAAACACCTTAATTATTTTGCTCTCCTTTGAAGCCCAGGAAACGTGGCCTAATAGAAGCATGCTGGACTTAAGAGTCAAGGAAGACAGGTTTGAATCCTGCTTTCTGCCCTTCCTAACTGGGTGGCCATGGGCAAGACGTCCTCTCTGAACCTCAATTTCCTTATCTGTAAAATGGGGGTGATGCTTGTTGTTAGGGTGAATGTCTCACGGTCTCATGAGAACTCTGTTGAGGGAACTTTCCCATGGGAGTTCTAGCTTCTATCAGTAGAAGCTGAGGGTCACAACATAGTTGCGTGGCAAAAATAAGGAAGTCTCCCAGGACCTCTCCTTTGCTGACCTGCAGCTCCCACGGTTGGTTCGGCTCTCCTCTCACTGGGAGATGAGTCCTGACACGAGCTCCAGCAGACCTGATGATTGGCTATCACAGGGGGATCACGCTTTGAACATGCATCACTAGGGCCATAAAAGACAGCTAACTGCACTCAATAAACGGAGCTTCCGCCACCTTGCTGTCTCCTGCCTCATCCATGCGTCTCGGGGTTACAGAGCATTGAGCTGGTCTCATGCTCATCACAGCAGCGGCCGCGTCACTTGTGGTACCCATCATAGGAGGCTGCTGTTGGACCAAGTGAGATGATTGTAGAGCACTTTGTAAACCTCAATGCGCTATTGCGGATGTCAACTATTACTGTATTTTAAGGATGGAATGTTATGTTTGAATGGTTCTGATTTCATTAGTGTATTACCTACATCAGTGCAGATGAAAACCTGTCTAGGATTCTTATCCTCCATCACTATCCAATCTTTTAAGTATTTCAGGGGTACTTGGGCTATCTAGTCAGTCAGTCAAGAAGATTTATGAAGTGCCTGTTATGTTCCTGGCACTGTGCTAAGTGTTAGAGATAAAAAAAGAGGCAAAAGGGGCAGCCAAGTGGCATAGTGGATACAGCACCGGCCCTGGATTCAAGAGGACCTGAGTTCAAACCTGGACTCAGACACAGAACGCTTACTAGTTGTGTGACCCTGGGCAAGTCACTTAACCCCATTGCCTAGCCAAAAAAAAAAAAAAAAAAAAAGGCAAAAACCGGTCTCTGTCTGCCCTCAAGGAGTTTACAATCTAATGGGGGAGACAAGCAAGCAAATAGGGACAAACAAGCTATATACAGGACAAATAGGAAATAATAAACAGAGGGAAGGCGCTAGAATTAAGTTGCAGAAGGCTTCCTGTAGAAGATGGGATTTTAGTTGGGACTTGAAGGAAGTAGTTGGAGCAGAGGAGGGAGAGTATTCCTGGCAAGGGGAATGGAGAGCCAGAGATCATAGAACAGCCAGGAGATCAGTCACTGGAGCAAAGAGTACATTTTCAGGGAATAAGGTGTAGAGTGGAAAGGTAGGAGAGGGTTAGCTCGTGAAGGACTTTGACTGCCAAACAGAGCATTTTGTATTTGCCCCGGAGACGAAGGGAGCCACTGGAGATTACTGGGGGGGGGGGGCACACAATATGACCCACACTTTAGGAAAATCACTTTAATGGCCCTGAGGGTTTGGAGTGGGGAGAGACGAGGCAGGCAGACCCACCAGTAGCTATTGCAATACTGCAGATGTGAGATGATGAGGGTCTGTACCAGGGGGGCAGCGACATCAGAGGAGGCGGCATATTCGAGTGATGCCACAGAGGTGAAATCCAAAGGCCTTGACAACAGATTGGATGGGGGTGAGGAGGATGAGGGGGAGAGATGAGTCCAGGAGGACTCTGAGGTTGGAAGCTTGAGGGAGGGGGAGGACAGTGTTGCCCTCTACAGTGACAGGGAAAGCAGGAGTAGGGAGGACTTAGGGGAAAAGAAAAGGAGTTCATCTGCTGCCTTTCACTCTTGTGGACTATTGCCCCCTCTATTTCTGATTCTACACATCCTTATTATGATCACCAAAGAAGGAACCATGTTGAACAAAGCCATGCTTCAGGAACTGTAGCAAGACAGAAGAGCTTAAAAGTTAGGTGCCCCCTGGTCTCAGAAATTAGAGATGTTTTTTGGTTAGGCAGTTGGGGTGAAGTGACTTGCCTGAGTCACACAGGTAGTGTTATGTATCTGAGGGCAGATTTGAACTCAGGTCTGCATGACTCCAAGGCTGGTGCTTTATCCACTGTGCCACCTAGCTGCCCCCAGAAATTGGAGATTTAAAAAAAAGCAAACTTCACACTTTAAGTTGCCTGCCCCTAGGATATTATTTCTGAATTCGCTTTTTTTTGGCCTTGAAAACAAATCCCAGGAAACACTCTTGTGGCTTGGCTATTAAGGTGAGGGAAGTAGATGCTAGAAGTATCATGAGAAATAGTGGCAGCTATAAGAAAGTGGCAGTAGAATGGGGGAATGGGAAATCGGAGACAGGAGGCAGCAGAGCTCCGAACCCAAGGAACCAAGGTGACTTAGGAGCTCAGAAGGTCAGGATTCAGTGAGCTTGGAAACTTCAGAAAATCTGGCAGAACAAAAGCCTTGGGAGCAAAGCCTGAGATGATCAGGATCAGCACCAAGTGGAGCAGTTTTGCTTTGGGAAGCTGATGTGTCTCAGAGAGCCCGAGGTTGAGTCACCCAGATGATCAGTCTTATAAGAGGACCTCAGAGAAGGAGAGGCATCTGTGCACCAGGGGGATCAACTGAGGCTTTACAAGATTGGAGTAGCTTGAGCTGGACCTTTTGCTAAGCAGAGAAGAGGTACCAGCTTAAGAGGAGTGAAGGCACAAATAGTTTGTACATGACTTGACTTTTGGGAGATGGTGAGTTGATCAGTCTAAAGTGGAAGGCAGATTCTGTGAATGACAGTGATGTGAAGATGTGGAGGCTGTTTAGGGTGTGACAGCTGTGCCAGCCTCCAGGTGGTGCTGTGAGCACATGCTTCTTCAGCTCCCTTTCCCCAGCACAGGTACGTTCAGGACCCAGACACTCCAAATCTCGGGTAGCCTGCCAGTTCCTTCCTTACTACTCTAGAATTACCTAAGGGATACAACTATTTCCCCAATGAGCCATGATTTATCTGGCTTATGTTCACCCTTATCCCACTAAGATCCTCATCTTCTCAAGTTCAGTAACCTAAAAGGAGGGCTCACTCCTAAAGAGATTAGAGTACATTTTAGTAATGTGGGATCAAAAGAGTACTGGCTTAAAAGTCCTTCAAACTTAGATGGAAATGGGTACCTGGGAGCTGCACATTGACTTAGGATACCACAAACTGACTTCCCAATTACATTGTACTCTGGCTAGGGAGTCTTGCTGGCCACATGGGGTCCATAGCAGTGTTTGACCCCTTGGTTCCAGAACATCAGGTAGCCCCTGGGGCAGATTCTGGAAGCTCAATCCCGCAGACTCATTACTGCATTAAAAATGAAGTTCACAGTGTCAGTTTTAAAATTCCAAAGTGGTGAATCCCCTGGTAGGGTCTGAAATCTCAGTTTTTTCCCTACTCAGTCTTCTGTCTTGACATTTCCCAGCACATCCAAAAGCCTTTTAAGGAAATGCAGTCTTCAGCATCCTGCTTCCACATGCACATGTAGGGGTG